TATTTCTTTTCTTTTACCAACAATAAATAAAGAATTAACTTAAAAGCTTATTTTCATTTCAGTTATTTTTAGTTACATTAAATCTGAGTTGTGCTGTTGTTATTTTTTCCGCTGTGTCAAACTTCCACTGAGGGTGAATCAATAAAACTTCGGACCTTCTCTGTTTCTCCAGGGGGAGGTCGGAGAGGAGATGTCTCCCATCTCTGCTGATTGGCTTCCAGATCTGAGCGCAGGACAGAGGTCGTCTGTTTGCTCCACGGGGTCAGAGGACACCATGCCCAGTCCCATCTCCCGCCAGCTCTCAGGCAGTGAGTGAACATCTGGATCCCTGTAAAGCAGAGGTCCCTTCATCACTGATACTCCTCTCTACACATTCATACACAGATATTTGTGTGTTTGTGAAAATCTGTGGGTTTGAGAAGCCCTGTTGTAAACTGTAGTGACCCTGGTTCTTGTCTGTGCTGGTCAGGTAGTGACAGACAGAGCCTGGACAGTGGATACTGTCAAAGGGACAGCATGAGGCTGGAGGAGAGCGGCGTCTCGTACACTGGACCATTCTGTGGTCGAGCAGTGGTTCACACTGACTTCACTCCCAGCCCCTACGACATGGAGTCACTGAAACTCCAGGTGAGTCTCAGGGGGAAGCTCCTTGTCTTCCTCAGCTCTGATTGGTCCGATAGGATTGTTGCTCTCAGTGTTTTCTTTCTGTCCGTCCTTTCATCTGTGTCCTTATATCTCCTGATCTGAGCTGAGATACTCATGCATCATGTCTCTTATAGAAAGGAGACATCATCTACATCATCGAGAAGCCCCCTGTTGGGATTTGGACCGGGAAGCTCAACAACAAGATGGGCTCCTTTAAGTTCATCTACGTCAACCTGCTGCCTGATGTGAGTCCCCCGGCCAGGAGGAGACGTTGCAACAGCAAAGGCCACCGACCCAAGTCCAAACCCAAAACCCTGGAGGAGGTGCTGGACAGCATCAGCCTGACGGTACAAGACACCGTCTGATAACAGAGCAAATAACTGACAGAACCTGTTTGTGTGTCTCAGTCTAACGCTTGTGTTTCTCTATCAGGAGCTGAGTTCGCTCCTGTCCATGCACGGGTTCCAGAGTCTGGAGGACTTTGCAGGACTGAAGGCGTCTCACCTGAATGAGCTGAACATCACCGATCCAGAGCAGCGCTCCAAGATCCTGAACGCCAGCGAACTGCTCAGAGACTGTAGGTTCACACACTGTGATGCTGCTCTGCTGGGAACCAATAAAAAAATACCAGATATCATTTTAATCAAATCTTGAGAAAACACCCCTTTGAAAGTCAGTGAGACGCTCATGGTCTCAGTACAGAGTTCAGTCACATTGTGTCGGTGGAGAAATGTGTTTCTGGGGAATTTATGAAGCTACTATAATATTTTCTGCCTCCGTCACATAATTAGATAAGCTTCATCATTTCATGGCTCAGTTGCGCAGCATTACTTTCAAAGTTCACAGCTCGGTCGCTTGAGAGAAATTTGACTCGGTCCTTATATCTCGGCTCGTTTCTCGTCCAAATCATTCGACGTGATTTCAACACCTTCTCCTGCAGCAACAGACACAATGTTTTAAAAACAGCTCGTGGTTTTCAGTGCTCGTGTCAAGACAATCTGTGCACCCTACATATTCCATATGTACAGGGACTGACCCCCACAGAGCAGCTGACCTGGATTTATTACTCTTCAAGACACATTACCAGTTCTAAATGTGATGATAGACCGCTGCCCCCAAGTGGCCAAACAGATCTGTTACCGCAGCTTTCAAGTTTCTCTGAACAGGATTAAAAGGCTTGAGAGAGTCCAGCGTTAATACAAAGGGATTCTATTGAGACGCTCTTCATTAAAACATGTTTGTCTTTGTCCCGTATAGCTGAGGACGAGTCAGAGGCAGGGGAGGAGGAGAACAGATCTGCAGAGGAGGCCAAGAAGCCGAGGGACTCAGGCTGTTTCGAGGGCTCGGAGAACCTGGAGAGTGGACGTGAGGGGGTGAAGAGGGAGGAGGTGCTGCAGAGTGAAGCATCAGAGGAGCACACTGACGAAGGAGCAGAGAAACAAAAGCAGGAGTCAGAGGAACAGGAGAAAGAGACAGAGGGGGAAGAGGTTCAGGAGCAGCTGGAGGAGGTTCAGGAGCAGCTGGAGGAGGTACAGGTTCAGGAGCAGATGGAGGAGGTTCAGGTTCAGGAGCAGCTGGAG